TTTTCTTCTCTGTACCTGTCTTCCACAAAACACTTTCCTAAGCCAGGAAAATAACACTTTTAAGGCACAGTAGCAAAACTGACTTAGTTCTACTCAAGTTCTCACAGAGAAACCTAGAAACAAGGTATTGGGTTTTTTTCTTCTCCCCTGACCCCAGCCCACCTCGCCCCCCGGCCCCCATCTCTGTGAAGTTCCTCTGCCTAAATGAAATCCGTTGTTACTGTGTCTGTGCTTTTCTGAGACAGCCTGTAGTTCACAGAGGAAGAAGGATTTCTGCAGGGGCAAGTCAGATATCCTCTGTGTTTGGGTGGAATAAATGATGTGCAGAACAAAAAAAATACTGCGTTCTGTGTGTGTGCTATTCGAATTTTTGGAGTTTCCACTAAGGGTGCTGTCCAGGGAAAAGGGATGGTGTTTTTTTGAGCCTCAGTCAGACTGTAATCTGAGTAACTATTTTATCATGAAAACTATGCATAGGAGTTAGATGTCTGTGCTAATGGCTGCTTCTAATTGTGATTTCAGGCAGAAGATTTGCCCTTTAGGAGGCTCACAACAGATCAGAACACGCATTTAGCATCTGGCTCGCCAAGAAAGGCTCCAGGTCACATTAAAAGCTTGGCTTCAGTGCTATCTGGTGCAAATTCAGTGGAGACTTTTGGATTCAGGAAATGATAAATTACAAATTGTGCTATGATAGAGTGTACCACATAAAACACCTTTATTAAGTAGAACAGACGTGACTTGTAGCCATTAATTTCACACTGATGTTGCCCAGTGCCCTAACATGGCTGTGACTCACGAGTCTAACTGTTGTCTGGCGATTTTGCATGTTGGAGTGGTTTAGTGCTGCCATTCGGTAAAAGTGGAATATCTACTGAAAACTGAGTTAAGTTGATTACATCTCTCAGACAATTTTGGAAGCTATCAGGTGACTTCCTTCTTCGTTGTCTTCTCTTTTATAATTTGATCTTACTTTTCAGGAGTAGTACTTTTAGCAATTAGTTAGAATTTTTACTTTGGAAGACATACTGTTTTAAAAACAGTTATGGTTCTGTCATCTATCTGAAATTTTCCTACAGAATACCCTTTCTTTCCAAGTGTTCGTTTGTGAAATGAGTCCAGTTTTTACAGCAACACTGGTAAAAATTTAGCAGATCTCAGAGTTGAGTTGTGTCCTGTGTTACTTTGGTATAAATCTTAAAGTTAAAGTGCTTACCACAGAAAGTCTGAAGGAGCACTGGTAAGGACACAAGACTGAGCATCAGCTGCATTGGTAACTCTTTGCATGGAGATTTTATACTATTGCAAGTTTAACTCCTTCGTGCTGCACTGATCATCATTCAGGTGGAGAGGGTCATCATTCTCTGTCTTAGAGGTGTCTGCAGTTTAATCGTGGGTTATATACAGTACTTACACTCTCGCTTAATAAATGCACATGCAATTGATTTTTTTAAGTATGAGGACTCCTACTGACTGGAAGTTATGGTTAAGGTTATCCCTGCCTGCAAGTGTTTATATGATTGAGACTGAAATCCTCTTCTTCCACAGAGTGAAACAACCTGAGGTGCGATGTATCACCAAATCGTAAGGTGGATATGCTGGATGCTGTGGTGTTGTGCACAGGACTGCATTTCTTACTTCTTCTGGTTGTTTTCATTAGACCTGAGAAACCCTGGATGCATTTTGGTTTTTAGGATTTTGACTCCCTCTTTGACTGGCTGCAGCTCTCCTCATTGCTGAGGACTGAAGAGTTGATATGAGGGCTCAGTTAAAAACCCCCAAATGATGCGGAGGCATCTTCCCATACTCCATATTGAAAAGTGTCAGTGATGAGTCTGGCATATCACTTACCGCCACCCCAGGTGTACTCAAAGCAGCCAGATTTGTTGCAGATCTAATTCCAGTGATATGCCAGGGCAAGATTTGACCCTCCAAAATTTAATAACCTCATGTGTCTGTGAGTAATTAAAAAAACCTAGTAATGTGAAGGACTAGGCTTATGTAATGAAAATTGTGATGCTCTTTATGTTGCCCTGCTGTGATACGTACCATGTTAACATCTCTTGCAATGTTTCATGCTTTTCTTTAAAAATGCAAGTGTCTGAAGTTGGATGACTGTGTGACAATCCCAGCTTCTGGTGACAGAGCAGAGCTGTTTCTAACTTTGGTCGTTGCAGGAAAAAGGTCACAAAAATGTTGCTTCTTCCTTTGTGAATCAAAACAGGCTATAACAGGGAAGATAAAATTTTTTTAGAAAGGAAACACAAGCTTTCAAGCCAGCCCCATGGCTGACTTTTGACTTTCTAAGCACCTGGGGCTGGCAATAAAAGGGTTAGGTGGTGCAGCAGCCATCTGGCTCTCAAAGCAGGAGCTACTCCCTTGCAGAGGGAGAGGATGCGTTGTGAGAGACATCTGTCATGTCACCAACACTTTGCCTGGCTTTGGTGTACCTCCACTCCCACCCATGTGTCTGCCTCCCCACCTGAGCACACTGAAAATACTGTTTTGTTTTGAAGTCTTGTGAAGAACATCACTTTTTGTGCCAGCGACTATGGGTGGCATAAAAGGACTAAAAGCAGGTGTAGTGCTAAAGAAGATACATTGATCCGTGTTTGCTTGCGCCACACATCAGCCTTGGTTGGGTTAATGAGGCAAAAAGAGAATATGTTTTTCCTCAGGATTTGTGTGTGCATCTGTGTTCATTCCTACCCTTTCCTGTTGGGTGTCATCAGCCACTTGCACAGAAGCAGGCAGGCAGGTGTGTGCACGGACATTCAAAGGGCAGCTTTGCGAGGCTCGTTCCCTAACACACCTGACTGCCACAGCGTGGGCACGCGTGGAAAACACTGTTGGCAGTACCAGTCCTCAGAGTATCGATACCTTTATTGTGAGCATTCATACTGTGTGTTCACTGCAATACAGAGATTCTGCTTGTGGTGTATTTTACTGGTGGTAGCAAAATCCAAATGAAACACTTTGTTGAGAAATAAAAGTTTGTTCGCATCGTTCGCACAGGCATTTTTCCTCTCTGTAGTGTTGAGTTTTTTATACATGTGGGTATGGAAATAAACTGTTAAATCACATTTGTAACAGAGCCATTTAATGGAACACCTGCCAGAGTGGTGTGGAGTTGATGTAGGTCCTGAGTCTCCCTGGGATGCAAAGCACCCATCACAGAAGGATACCAAAGCAGCTACTGGTGGTGGCTGATTTTCTCTGTAGCCCCATCCCCCTCCTCAGGCCGGATCAGGTCCTGCCGGTACATGGTGCTAATTACCCCAGGCAGGGCAGGGCTCACCGGGGGGGAGCAGCCACCTTTTAAAACACAAATTGTTTTCATTTTTGTTCAGTGCTATTGACTGTGGAGGAAGGGCCAGGCTGTGCTGGTTTGCCATATGAAATTTAGCCCCTGTACCAAAGGAGAGTCTTTTGCTGTTGGAGGAACGGTGAGTGCTGGGGAAGTGTTTGTCCCTGCAGCTGGCGACAGCTCAGTGCAGAAGGGCTGCTGATCTACAGAGGAGTTTCCCACCTCTGCTCTGGAGAAGAAATTAATGAAAGGAAGAATAGCAACATTTTGGTTTCGACATTTTGCCTCTTAAAGGAGGGAGGTAGAAGCTAATCTATTTGCATTTTTAAAGCTACCTAATTAACAGCCCAGAGGGGTCATCCCTAGCACACGGTGTTTTGTTTTATGGATAAAGGTGTTGATGGAAGAGTTTAGACTGCATATTTTAAATGAAGTTTTGAGTCTGTGCTTTCCTGAAAATACTTTTGATAAGTTAAAATTTGAGGGAGTCATTTATCTGCGAAGTTGAACAAGAGGCGTGATTAAAGCCAGTTAATAAATACCAAGAGAGTCCTCTGATTTACAGTTGCTCAGGGCTGGATCTTGCTGTCATTTCTATCAGCTGAAGAACTTCAGATCTTAAATAAACCATTGACTGTGTCTATGAGATCCCACCTTTTGAACTTCTTCTTGCAAAATACTAAGCACTGTACTCCAGCGCTGCAGATGACTGTGCAAGAGGGGCAATTGGTGGGTTACAGTGGATGTCTGGGCTGATGAATTAAATGGTGTATTTACACGTGGTGTTATTTCAGTATCAGGATTGCCGGTGTTTTGCAAGGCAGTAGTAGCACTATCTTGAGTAGCTTTGCATGGCTGTGTCTGGTTTACCTCAAAGCGTGGTGAAAGCACAAGTGACTCTCAGAGGATTTCCAAGGCTCCCAAGAGCAGACCATACTGACACCTGTATTCAAAGGTTTTCATGACTGAGTGGCTACAGGGTTATCAGATTTCTAAATGAAAATTATGCTGAAAGAACAGCATGCAAACTAAGGGCAACTTATTTCAGATAGGCAGATTTTTTTTTTCTGTTTACAGATTAAAATACTTCTGCCATTCAGAATAGCAGCAAATAGAAACTCTTTGAAATACAGCTTACTTAAGATTTGAGGTACCACTGGCAAACTTTAATCTCTGTCCATAGTAGATGAATTGTCACTAGACTAAAATCTTTTCTGCCCTTCTAGTTTTGTTTTGTTTTGTTTTGTTTTTTTTTACAAAACCTTATCACACCACTGTATTTGTGTATCTTCAAAGCTTGGGATCATCTATAGGGGCTGTAAATTCAGTTGCTAAAGAAACAAAATAGTCAAGCTTACAGCTGATAACCTGTTAGCTGCCTGTGCTTCTTTCTGTCGTTTTGTCCTGCACAGCAGTAGCCTCTGAAGATACATGAACTGAAAAGAGAGAGCTGATTGGATTAAATGGCTGTAAATGTTGTGTCTATGGAAATGATATTGTGCAATTACCCCTTTATTTCCATCCTGTAGATACGTTTTTATATGTTCAGAACTACTAATGTCCTTTAAGACATTGTTTAGCCAGTTCTTAGCCTTTGTGCATTTCAGATTCATATCATTTGCCCTTTGTTTATTTCCCCTGACATCCCTAACCATTGCTATTAAAATTGTTCTTTTGACCCTGCTCATTTTAGATGCCAGACCAGTTTGATCAGACAGTGGTGCTTAACCAGCTGCGCTATTCTGGGATGTTGGAGACAGTCAGGATACGGAGGGCTGGGTTCCCGGTCCGGAGGCCCTTTCAAGATTTTTATAAAAGGTAAACACACTGACTAGTGCATTTCAGATGTGAGTCACGGGTACCAAATCAACATTCCCATGTTGAGGAATAAAGTGAAAACGTAATAACCAAAAAAATCATATGTCAAAAATAGAACCTGTCTGTTAAATTAAGTCATTTAAATTCACTAATAAATACTTTTTGGTTGCCAGGTATAAAGTCCTCATGAGAAACTTGACTCTGCCTGAAGATTTAAATGAGAAATGTGCCGTCCTACTTCGTCTGTATGACAACACAAGCACTGAATGGCAGCTTGGAAAAAATAAGGTAAAATAATCCGATTGTACATACTGTGGGGCTGGTGCTTATACAAAGCCAAGGGAACAGGATTTAGACTGCACAGCTGCAGAGATGTAGTTGCAATGGTAATTACTTCTGGCCTTAAAAGAAGCTGTGCAAGCCTGTTGGTTTTCTTGAAACCCTTAGAGCAACAGTTAATGGTTGTGCTGAGGAATTTGCTGTCTAAGGCACTGAGACACTGACTGGTGTCTTCGCATCTGGAATATTGTGTCCAGTTCTGGGCCCCTCAGTTCAAGAGGGACAGGGAACTGCTAGAGAGAGTCCAGCGCAAAGCCACAAAGATGATGAAGGGAATGGAGCATCTCCCTTATGAGGAAAGGCTGAGGGAGCTGGGTCTCTTTAGTTTGGAAAAGAGGAGACTGAGGGGTGAACGAATTAATGTTTATAAATACGTGAAGGATGAGTGTCAGGAGGATGGAGCCAGGCTCTTCTCTGTGACATCTAGTGATAGGACAAGGGGGCAATGGGTTCAAGCTGGAGCATAGGAGGTTCCACTTGAATATGAGGAAAAACTTCTTTACAGTGAGGGTGACAGAGCACTGGAACAGGCTGCCCAGAGAGGTTGTGGAGTCTCCTTCTCTGGAGACATTCAAAGCCCGCCTGGATGCGTTCCTGTGTGATCTGATCTAGGTGTCCTGCTCCGGCAGGGGGATTGGACTAGATGATCTTTCGAGGTCCCTTCCAATCTCTAACATTCTGTGATTCTGTGGTGATCTCACTCATGGATAATTTTTCTGCCACTGCTCACAAGTGATAGTGCTGGTGAGGATCAGAACTTATAACGTGGTAGCTCGATTTTATCGTTTTTAGAAGTATCAAGCATGTGAGGTAACACTTTTGTTCTGCAGGGTGTTCCACTTATACTAGTAAAACAACCTGTGTGATACCTGCTTAGTGGCTGAAATCAGGGGGAGGAATTTTAGCCAGTGTTCATGTGGCAGATTTGAGGTCTACACGTCTTTGCCATCCTAGTCTGAGAGTCTTTTTCAGAGGTACATTAGAACTTGATACATGTCCTACGGACAACCTCAACTTTGCCCACAACTTTTTTTTTCTTCCCAAAAAACCCCCCAAATTATTTTAATTAGAAGAATAGAATTTTAATATGAGAAATAAAGCAATCCGGGTGGTTTTGCATGCTTGTTTTGCAAGTTTGATTTTGGACTTGTAAGCTGTGTGCAGAGCTTCCCTCCTTGAGATTTTGTGCTCTTGGACTGAACAAATGATGTGAAAGCATTGTGTACTCAGGAGAAGACTCCCCACTGCAGGATCTGAGATTTCCTAAGTATTAAAAACACCTGGTATAAAGGACTAGAGAGTGGATTACAAACATCATGCCATCACTGCCAAGAATCATTCGCCCCAACCTCTGCAGATGACTTTCTCTTCTTTTTTCTTTGACTAACTCCTGTTGGTGCTCTCAGGGCTTCTGTAGTACAGAGAGAAGAAAAAGCAGATCCAGAAGTAAAGTTTGATGAATTGTACGTTACACTTGCAGTTTTCCTGTCAATTGTTAGAATTGTGAAAAAACTTTCTCGTTACCATATGGTAATAAAAATATTTGTAAAATCTGATTGATTTCTGTGTGAAGTGCCCTTCCTCCTCATCCTCTTCTCCCCAAAATGAAATAGTCTTGAAGGGTTTCCTCCATTCCTCTGCACTCTTAAGGAGTCTCAGAGATGCTATTGGGAAAGTTGATTTAATAATTTTACAGGTATTGTAAGAGATAGAAATAATCTGATGGCAATTGAAGTAATCTTTCATCCCATTTTTGTAGACATGGCGCTCACTGCTTCGGGAGCGTGCAGTAAAGAGCAGGCATCAAGGCAGGTGGAAGAGGGAACGTGCATCCCTCATGCCTCTGCTTGGCTGGGGAAGCAGTTTCATTCATTTAAGGCAAAGTAAGCTCAGTTGGCTCAATATATGTCAATGACAAGTGCTAAAGCTGCCTCTAAGAGGCACTAGGCAGTCTGGGCAAATGAGACAGGTTAGTGCTCGGAGGAGAGCCTGGGGAGTCTGCAGGAGGGCAGATGGCAGTGGTGGGGTGTCTGGCCCGGGCAGCTGTCTTCCCGTGTAATGACAGGAAAACACAGTCGAGTCAACCTGAATATGAAACCGCTGTCATTACTGCTTACTTCTGCAGGCTTATATCAATGTAATTTAAAGCAGAGAGGCTTGTGAGGGGTTGTGGAGTTTGATGTTGCTGTGAAACAGCTAAATTATTGGGGTGGTGTTTCTGCTTCTCAAATCAGGAAGTTCATGCTAAGTCCTACAACTTCTTTGGCCTGTGTTACTGTTTGGTGGGAAAGGCTGTTTGATTAATCCAGTAATTACGTTGCTTTTGGAAAAACCCTGCTCCAAATTAAAATTTCCATTAATGTAATCAGGCTCTTCCCACTGAAATGCAAAGTTAGAGGATCATCTGCAGGTATTTTCTTTCAAGAGGAATATGTTTTGTTTTTTTCTTTTCTGTTGAAGAAATGGTATGTTTGTCTCTCAGTTCAAAACTGAGGCTTGCTGCTTGGACCAACATTGGCAGCACCCTGGCTGTCCTTTATATATGATGCTCTCCGCAAGTTGTTAAGCCAGAAGTTTTCTTCTGTAGGTTTTTCTCCGGGAGTCCTTGGAACACAAGTTGGAGAAACAGAGAGAGGTGGAAGTCACCAAGGCAGCAATGATTATCCGAGCACACATCTTAGGTTATGCAGCCCGGTAAGTAACTAGATGAGAGTATTAATAATCAAGCTTTGGAAGAAATTGAATAAATGAGTGGGGTGTCATGGAGTTAAGTCCTACTGGCACAATTCTTAACTTTTCCTAGGGACCAGGCATCCAAATCTTGTAAATGGCTTTTGAAAATATCAGCTGGTGTCTTTGACAGGCCCATGAATAAAACAAAATGGAGTTTGAATTGTTTTAATATGAGGTATAGGACAGTATAGTTTCAAAGTCAGCCAATATCCATATAATTATATCATGGCATTAGATCCATGGTAGGAAATCTAGCTGGATGGCAGCTTGTGGGACTGCCCTGGGTTACCAGCTGAGAGTCAGATTTATCTTTGCTTCCTCATGGTAAGAAAAAACAAGGCAAATTAAACTATCAGTTTTGTTCTTAAAGAACCATGACATTAGGTAACTGGTTAATGTTTCGCTTGTTTACCTGGCTTCATGCATTATATATTAGGTGGAACTGCTCATTTCATCTGTTCATTTCTCTGCTTTTTCTACAAATCATTTGAGGACAGTTTAAGGAAACTTGTTTGCATAATGGGGTAATTTCTCTTCGTGTGTATATTAGTCCTGTCTTCTTATTCTGACCAGTATGTTCCTTAAAAACTATATTCCTTTTTTAATGACAGAGCTCTCCTGCTGTTCATGGTCTTTCTTTCAGAGATGTGGGATGACTATTTATATTCTTCCTCTGCATGTGTGCACACACACAGAGCTGTCCTTTTAGCATCTCCTGTCACGAGCATAATGTGCATTTCCTTAATGAAGACACAGACAGCGCTGTCATAGAAATGAGAGAATCTCTTTCCTCTCAAAAGGAGGAGAATGTGAATGAGAATGGGGAAACCATCACAGAGATAGAAATAATAAATTGTTTTACTACCATGGGCTCATTACTGCAGGTCACCATGGCAAGACCTCTCATGACTGCTCATTACTTCCTTGTTTCCTTAGAAATTTCCTTTTTTATTTTTCTTCCAGAAAGCAGTATAGAAAGGTTCTCTACTGTGTGGTTGTGATACAGAAGAACTACAGAGCATTCAGTGGTAGGAAAAAGTTCCTATGCCTGAAGAAAGCAGCCATAATTCTTCAGAAGCAGAGGCGAGGCCAGCTTGCTCGACGTGTTTACAGGGAGCGACTAGAGGAGAAGCAGAGACAAGAGGAGGAAAGAAGAAAAGAGGAGGAAGAAAGGTGCAGTATTTTGTCTTGCATCACTCTCCTGTCTGTGCCATATTAGGTTTTGGTCTGAATAGCCTTCATTTCAGGCTATTCTTGACCAAGTAATTTTGGACACCTTTGCTTCTTTTGCTAAAAGTTGCATGTAGCTGTCATGGTAGTTTCATATTCGCAGACATATCCTTGTTGTCCTTATTTTTAGCTGTCTTTTCCATGTGCCAGATGATCTCTGTAAGTTGAGCTATTGCCCTAGTAAAGGTATGTGATGAGCTTATGTTCAGCTTGATTTACTAACTGCTTTTCTTCCTCGACTTAAAAAGAAGCAGAGCGTCTTGCCCAGCAGGTAAATGATATTCTTTATGCTTTCAGCAATCCTGTTTATTTGAGTATCTCAACCCAGACATTAAAAAAATAAAAGGCATCTGTGGCATTTAAACTAAACTTATTACAGGAGTTGGCAGATAAAGCCAAAGGAAACTTGATACAGTTGTTTGCATGGAAATTTCTTTCACCTCATGCTTCATTTAGTTTCTGGCGAAGATTGTGCTTTCTGCACGTACTTGAGTAGTGTCTGTGAGCAAATGTAATTGTGCTTTCGTTTTTCTTTTTCTTTGCTTTTCTTTTCTTTCTGATGTAGGGATAAGGGTCCTTTTAAGTGAACAGCTTGGTGGGAGCATAGTGCTTTAGAAATAAATAAATTTTAAAAAGAAATCTTGCACTGAGGGGCTTTATTTTAATTTAATTTATTCTCTTTTGTTTTGAATGCAGGCTGAAGAAGAGAGAAAGAAGCAGGAACTGGCTGCCATTCAGAAAGCCCAGAAGGAGGCAGAGCTGAAGCAAGAGGTGGAGAAGCAGAAAGAAACCAGGCAGGTGGAAGAAATCCTGCGTCTAGAAAAAGAAATTGAAGACCTGCAGCGTGTGAAAAAGCAGCAGGAACTGTCCTTGACAGAGGCTTCATTACAGAGGCTGCAGCAGCTTCGAGACGAGGAACTCCGTCGGCTTGAGGATGAAGCATGTCGAGCAGCCCAGGAGTTCCTGGAATCTCTGAACTTTGATGAGATTGATGAATGTGTCAGAAACATTGAGAAGTCTCTTTCTGTGGGCAACGGGTATCCTGCTGAGCTGACTGAACAGACTGGAAATGCCTGCAGTGAAAAGCCCAATTTTAACTTCAGCCAGCCATATCCTGAGGAGGAGGTAGATGAGGGCTTTGAAGCTGATGATGATGCATTTAAGGATTCGCCCAACCCAAGTGAGCATGGCCATTCTGATCAAAGGACCAGTGGCATCAGAACAAGTGATGATTCCTCAGAAGAGGACCCCTATATGAATGATACTGTGGTGCACTAGCAACACCATGCTTATACCTCCTACCCATGATACAGTAAGTCTCCACAACTCTTCAAGTGGTGAATCCACATACTGCATGCCAGAAAATGTATCATGTAGACCTCCAAATTCTGTGGAACTTATTTCTCCTGATGGAGACTATGATTATGACCAAGACGATTATGAAGATGGTGCTATTACTTCTGGTAGCAGTGTGACCTTCTCTAATTCGCACAGTAGCCAGTGGTCGCCGGACTACCGATGCTCAGTGGGGACATACAATAGCTCTGGAGCATACCGATTTAGCTCTGAAGGAGCTCAGTCTTCTGTAAGTATCTTTTTTTTATTATTATCTTATAATTGATATGTGATTTCTGATAATTAATTTTTTCCCACTGTGCAGCTGTAGAGTCACTGTAGCTGTTAAAATGTTTGTGTTGTGTAGTTTGACTTGCATATACTGCGTATGGACATAGTTGTTTGTTACCATCTAGATGCCACTGAGGTGAGTGCATTAGAGTTAAGAGGCAGCTCAGATGCTGCTGTGGTTCCATCTGTTTTCATGCAGAACTGCAGGTTATTTAGTGAGGAGCTCAGTGCATGGCCTTGGAGGCAATTCATAAGCAAAATTATTTCTGTGTGAGTCTGGAGTCGGGGTACCAGGCAGCCTGGTGGGGAACTGATTTCAGAAAAAACAGATTCTGCATGCAAGTTGCAACAGTATGGAGGAATAACCTGCTTGCAGAAGTCCTTGAAATGCCAGGTATATTTTGAGATTACTGGGAGAGTAAATTTGACGTGATGGCAAATGTTAAAATGATTGAGGCAGACACTCAAACTGAGGAGCTCTTTTTCAGTGCTGTTTACTGAGTGTACTGCAGGCTTTACTCCTATGAATATTTTCTGGAAGAATATTATTTCCTCTACCATTCACAGAACACTTCTGTGAGACTGTGTGACTGCGAAAGTGTAGAAGGAAAACGTTAACCCTAAAATACCTGTTACAGTTGAGGTAATGAAAACCAGTCAAAGAGCCATCATGGTCATTGGGATAAGTTGACAATTCTTGCTTAAGAGAAAAACACTGTCCCTGTTGAGGACTCTTTCCTTTGCACGACTCCGGATGTGTGTCAGATACAGAACATAAATTCTGATTATTTGGAGTGAGGGTGGAGGAAAGCTATTACCACAGCTTGTGGAATATGTTTTTCAACTCTTTTTCTAAACTGTTACCCACAGCACTTCACTGACAGAGGGAGATAGCACAAGGTAGGGTACCCTGGCCATGCTCTTGCAAACAGATAGCTTTCTGAGCAGCTATGAAGCTGTTTCATAGATTTGTTACACGATATTAGGGCTAGTGTGTAATCCAACAGCTCAAGCTGCAACTTACTGTGATGTACTCCTTCCTTTGTTAGCTGGATGAAAAACAAGAAGGAATCATGTTCTTCCAATACATCATAAAATGTTTTAGCTGAAGACTTCTAAACCAACTGTATCTAAACTCTTTCCTGAGAGATCATCTAACCTTTATTTCCTCTCTTCTGTAGTTTGAAGATAGCGAAGAAGATTTTGACTCCAGGTTTGATACAGATGATGAACTTTCCTACCGGAGGGATTCAGTCTATAGCTGTGTCAGCCTGCCTTACTTTCACAGCTTTCTGTATATGAAAGGTACTGGGTGAATCAGAACTCACTGAATATACAAAATAACCAGAAATGTTTGTTATACCTTGCACTCCAGTTCCTGTAGAATTAACCTATTTTCTTATTTTTCAAAAGATGATGGAAAAGTAACTTAATTTGAGCTGCTCTCAAATAAAATTACTTGCAGTGGGTTACATCTAGCAGCGTTTTTCCCCTCTGCAAAGGAACATCCATGTTTTGAGCTGCCTCTGTTTCATTTTACATCTTTGCTGGCTCATAAACAATGGAATATCCAGTATAAATATAGCAAAATAACTCACAAAGTCAAATTGTACCAAATTTTCAGGAAAGCTGATTCCTGCTCCCAAAACCTTGTAGCATAGACAGCATTCTACATTGCAGACCAGTTTTACTGACCTCAGTCAGCTTTCATTTTGGATCCGAAAGACACAAAGAAGGATATGCGTAGGAAAGGGGTGTGAGAGGCTCTGTAAGAATACACACAGGAGTTCTCTGGTTAAGATTCTTGGTTTCGTCTTCTGATGTTTGATAGTAAATTGTAATCTGGATGAATCCTTGTGTGGTAGATAACCCATCACTGTAGCATAACTTAATTTTCCTGGAGTAGGCACAGTGATGAATGTGTGCACAGTTATGTTTGTGTGAAAAATAACGCAGTCATCATTAGCATGGCTTTTACTTTCTGACATAGTTATCAATAATTTTTTGTGGAATGACAGGAGTATATTGGTTTGGTGAAGTTTTTTTTGACTGTGATGTAACTACAGTGCAAGGTGTATTGTCTACCGTGTAGCCACACTTTGGTATGACTCGGCTCACACTTACTCCAAGTATAGATTTTTCACATTTTGTGGTTTTGAGTTGAGCATTGTTCCTGCCTAATAACTTGGAGAGAGGAAAGTGTTTTAACACCAAACTTTTCTTAGCTTATCATTGAGATACATTGAAAACAATGTTAAAGATCTGATACTCATTTGCAGTAAGACTTTTTAATAATTAATTATTTATTGTATGTTATGTATAGGTATATATGTTACATGTACATTTTTGTTACATAGAGATTTATTATGATTTATTATAATTATTTAAGGGTCTTTAGATTGCCAGCAATATTGGTGGCCTTAAGGGTATGCAAACATGAGATCTTTGGTTTCGTGGCTTACAGCAGAGAACTGCAGCATTGTTGGTCAGCATCTTCCAGCATTGGTTCGGTCACAGCTTCTGTTTTATAATATAATTGTTTTGTCTTAACTACACATAAAGCCACATCTGTCTGTCTTGCCAGGTGGCTTAATAAACACATGGAAGCGACGCTGGTGTGTCCTGAAAGATGAGACCTTCCTGTGGTTTCGTTCCAAGCAGGAAGCACTTAAGCAGGGTTGGCTTCACAAAAAGGGGGGTGGATCATCAACGCTTTCCAGAAGGAACTGGAAGAAACGATGGTTTGTTCTCAGACAGTCCAGATTGATGTACTTTGAAAATGACAGTGAAGAAAAGCTGAAGGGTGCCATTGACGTCCGAACAGCCAAGTAGGTTTATATGTTTTTATGATAGTCGTAGTTCCTCCTAAATACTTCTTGGGGCTTAATCTGGGAAGATGTTGAGTGCCCTGCCTTCAAATTGTGTGAACGCAAGCATGAGAGTGTGTGTGTGAAGTTATTGAAAGCAAGTGTTGTCCTTACTTGGCTCTCTCTGAAGACTATGGAGTGCTCCAGAGCTAAGCCAGTGCCAAATACTTCAGAAAACTGCTGCCATAATGAACCCATCTATACTTTCTCCCAAACTAGTGCCCTACTTAGTCTGTAATGATTCCCAAGGCAATTTGGGGCATGTTGCCAAGTCCACAGCTGCAGGCAAACCTGGAACGAAGAGGGTGGAATTAATGGGCCCTGAATATATTTAAGTTAGCATGGGTCAAAGCTGTATCTTTTGTATGCATTTATGATTTTTTTCGTGTTTGAAGTAATTGTGGTAGTGGTAGAAAAGTCTTTAAAATGCATATATTCATTTAAAAAAAAAAAAAGAATTACTAAACCTAACTTACGTCTTGATAACTAAAATTCTATGCTTCTTGAAGCATACATCAAAAACATTTTCTAGGGGATGGTATTTTTCCTTCTAAATAGCCAGTATGCTTTATGAACATAGAGATTATCTAACTAATTTAAAAATTAGAGTGTGTTAGCATTGGTAGTCTTATTTCTGTATAAAAGTGTACCTCAGCTTTCTTTCAAGGTAGAGAAAAATAGAAATGTCTGTAACACTTGATTCTACTCTGCTCCTTGCAACCTGCAACTATCCATTTTATTTTGTTCATTTAACAGAGTACTTAAACTAAATTGAAAGCTTAGACTAATCTTATGTTTGGAAGTCCTGGCTTGAGACTGATTTCAAGCAGGACAACGTAAATAGTTTCAGTGAGCATTCTGACTTGCTTTTGTAAAATCAATGGGCTGCTGGTCGTCAAGTAGATCTCTGAATGGATACTGAATTTCCTACCACAATTTTTTTTTGTTGAAACTGAATTTGACTCATGTACCATAGCTTTTACTTAGCATATTTTCCTGATGCATTTAAACCTTCTTTTTTTGTTGTCACCACATTTCATTGACTGTGCCCTACAGAAGTTCTTTGCTGAGTGTCCCATTAAAATTGTCAGGTAAAGGGTGTTGAATCTAACTTGAACAGTAGGTTCAGTCAATGACTGTTTGTGTATAAAATAGCTAAAAGAGAGGGTACTTGTATTTAAAGAGCTGTATGTCAGGAGAAATAAGCAATAGTTTTTCTAGGTAACTTTAATATTCACTGAGTGCATTCCTAACATTTCTTGTGACTTAGGTATTTCACCGCGCCATGTTAGGGACCCTGTTCAAATTGAATAAATCTTGGGCTGATTCACTTAAAGCACAGAACAGGGAGGTATTCTGGTGGACACTGTTATTGGGAGGGAAAGAAAGCAAATTAAAGAAAACAGTACAGAATTATAGCTTCGGGTTTTTACAGCAGATAAATTGTCCTTATGAGTCTGATAAGCAGAGCGTGCATATATTGTTTATAGGATAGAGATTTTTGAGAATAGTATGGCTGATAGGGAGATACAGATAGTTAAGGAAATAATAAGCTTCAGACAAATACAGTAAAACAGCAAAAAAGAAATCAAGTTGATTTCTTAAGCTTCAGGAAAACCTGATGTAATACTTAAATTACTCCTTAAAAATCTTGTGCTTTTTGGTTCATGATTGTTTAATATGTGGATACTTAGATATCAAACTACAAATTAGAAAGATGTAATTTTTCAGCAGATGAGTGCTCAGCTTTTTCTGGAAGTCATGTTTGAAATTGTCTTTATGCTGACTCACAACCACACAGAATCACTAATCCAGGTTTTGTTTGCTTTTTGTTTTTAATCTTCAAGAGCTTTCTTTTTACCACTCCAAAAATTACTTGGGTATGCAGTCAGTTCAGAAATACATCAATTTCTCAACTTAGTTATCCTTGCCTCTCTTGAGGTTCGGTAATTTTTTTTTTCTTTAGTTCTTGTTTAAACAATAACAGAATAGTCAACTTGGTATAATGACATTCATAATAGTTTGAATATCTGTACTGTATAGGCAGAAAACAGAGCTACTATAGTTTGGTGATTAAATACGGTCTGATAAATTACATTGTGAGTCTTGCAAATTATAATTGGATTTTAACCTGATTCAAGCTGACTGCTGTTATTTTAAGTACCGGTAGTTTGTGAGCCTCTTGGCTGAACTGAATTTTTAAGGTGTTGACAATCTCTAATGCTCAATCTTGGCATTTTCTTCTTTTCAGAGAGATTATTGATAATACAGGCAAAGAAAATGGCATTGATCTAATAATGGGTGACAGGACCTACCACTTAATTGCTGAGTCTCCTGAGGATGCAAGGTATGAAAATAATCAGACCTTTTTTTTTTTTTTTTCCCCTTTTTAACCTCTGTGCCATTCTGACTTGTGCTTGTCATTAACTTGTTTGTCCACTGTCACAAAATATTCAGGCTGTGTTAAATGCGTTGCATTTCACACTTTTTCTAAAGGCCTGCTGAGAATAAAATCTTGTGGCAGAACATTACTGGGAAGAGTCAGACTGCCAGTGAAAACTTGCCTAGAATTTGGCTGTTACCCATTTATTGCTATCAACTTTCTGAAATACAGTATGTCTGTAGAGAGGCAGTCATCAGCCATTGATGCTTGTCTTGTGCATTACGCTGCTGTGTTTAGCTGTATAGATTAAATCAATATTTAAGACACTGTAATTTGCGTGAAATAAAGTACTGTTCTTCAGGGTTGGGATCTGTGTGCTTAAACAGAGCCTAAAATTTTTTCAGCTAAAAGTTGTAATGTGGTCACTGGATTTTAGGGTGAAAGCATGTTCATGAATGAGAATAGCGTGCAAGAGAGTGTTTCCCTTTCTGCTGATTTAAAAAGGGTCTTGCTTTTGTTACTAAAGGATCTGTATCAGGCTGCAGGGGGAGGCTGGTAGGTGAGGAGCAAGTTTGACTTGTCAGATCAGTTGTAGTGCACCTTTAAAAAAAAATCCCCACACTGAAGTTCATGTGATATAATAATATGCTTGCCCATAAAAATCAAGCATTTAAATAAAGTCAACTTAGTAATCAAAGCATATTACCTACTGTCTTGCTGCCTCAAGGCCAGAATACAGGATGCCTGTGGCAAAATCACTTGAGCTAGTTTTACTCTGAAGCCTTGAAAGTCGCTTTGTATTCTGTTCTTTTTAAAGGTATAATACCTTCCTATATTACAGGACCCTGAGTATAAATTTAGCAATGTTTGCAATGTAGAATCATTCTTCATTTTTTAGGCATCCTTAAAATTACCCTTGAAATAAGTATGAGCTTTCCAGTACTCATTGTTAAGATTCTTGTGTGATGTGAGTATATTTTAAAACTAAGGCTTAGCTAAAGTCTGTTCTATTACAGTTGTGTACATGCCCTAGGGACCAATAAGAAACTATCAGCATAAAGACTTGTCTGTTGTCATGCATCTCTTTCATTTTTTCCTTAAAGATGGGGGAGACACGATACAATATTGTTGTTTATAGTACAAATAACACACAATCCAAATTAAATACTTTTTACCAGTGTAGTTGATGTTTCTTTTTTCTCAGTCATCCCAAAAAACTTTAATGAGGGAGAGGTGTAAGGATTTGCAGATAGGCTTAAGTCAAAGCCTTGTTAATGTTTGGCATTGTTAAAAGTGAAGTTCAAAATTACTGGGCTGTGTTGCTTCTGGATCCGCTATTGAAAATAATATTTTGTATCTGGGCTAGATCATGATCTGAGGTTGCTTTTTGTTCAAATGATGGGAAAAGGCAGGAGAAACCAGACACTCCCCCCCAAAGATAAATTAATATTTTTATCATGGAAGTGTATTTGAGGAAAGATGTAATGCTTCAATGGGCAGCCATTGCTGAAGGTTTATTCCTTCAAACCCCTAGTCTGTCTTTTTCCTTATTCCTGGGTTTTAGGACTCAGCTGAAAACCAGAGGAGGTCCTGAGAGGATAAAAAACAAAAGAAGAGTAAAACCTGCCTTTGTCTTTTGCAAAGTGCCATGATTAATTTATTTTTCATTGCTATCACAAAGCTTACCTGAAATTCTGAAAATTCTGATTTGTTCTTTAAAATACAATTATAACTTACTACTGTGCATAAAGTGCTATGAGGTCTTTTTTTGTTGTTTTTAAATAGAAGATTGACATTTAAATACATTTGCAATTCCTGAGCCCAAAATGGGAGACTGAATTTAATTTGTGGGAATCTTTCTGTAGATGAGGTTTAGTTTTCTTCAGCTCACGGTTCCTTCTTTTTAGATGTCCTTTCCCTCATTTTGAGGGGTTTCAAGTGACTTAGTCTTACACCCAGCAAAGTAAGTGTTACGAACAGCCTCTCTGTGGGTATCTGTGAGCCTTAACAAAGAATCAGAACTAAATATGTTCTCATCTTCTTTATTGTCAAGCACTCAAAATCTTTGTTTTTCTTCATGCCTTGCATTGTTCCTAGTGAAAGCAAAAGCTGTTAGAAGGATGTAGGATATGGAAGTAATGGTACTGTTTGGCAGACTACACAGGTTTTCTGAAGCTATTTTGGCGGTTCAGTTTCCAGACATCTGCATTATGGGGATCAGTTGGCTTCTGAATGCTGGAGTTAAAGAGGCAGCACTTCACTGTCATAGGCATAAATTCCATTACTATAAGCGATTGCAGAAAAGATAGCTTTATATTTAAAGTGAGTAGTTTTGCATTTGTTTCCTCAACCTGGTGGTCGTGTAGAAGCCTCTGCAGAAAAGTGAGGAGTCTGTTTTAAAGGCTGGGCTTTTGAGCCCTTTGAAAACTTGGCCCCAGGTGGTTTTCATTAGAATGGCAAATTCATATCTCAAAGAAAGGCATTCAGGAACCTGTCCAACAGGCTAAGCTCTGCCCTCAGCTTTCAGTGGGATTGCTTAGAGCAGTTGAGCTTTATCATATACAAGTGCCAGGAGGGTAGACATTTCCCAGAAGCAGAAGGTGTGGTTGGGATTAAATCCTTCTGCAACTGCTGCTCAGCACTAGGGGCTGAAGTACTGCAAAACTCTCAGATAGTTTTTCTGTTGTGGCTATATACAAGGCTACTGGAGTGGCACAAATTGGCTCTGGTTCAGCTTCACTGGTCCCTCCAGCAGCTGGATTTTCCAATGCTCCCAGGGAACAAAAAATGTAGAGGTATTTGCTTGGTGTTTTTATTCTTTCTCCCCTCTCAGTTGTGCTCCTACAGACGACTTGATGGGCTTGGGTGGTCTTTGCAGAAGTATAATGGTAACAAGGTATTACCAGTCATCCTATCAGTGCAGCAGATTTTATAATCGGAAGGTTGGGTTTCCCATTAAAGGCTTTGTGCGTAGCTAGTAAAGTATTTTTTTTCCAGCTGAAATGTGTGGAATATGTTATAAATACTCTTTAAGCACTCAGATGTTTCAGTGTGCTCCCTGCCGGTTTTTCAGAGATGCCACTTTTTGTACAAGGTATTTGTCTTCAGGAAGAAGGGCATGACATGACCTTGGATGGGAGATCTGGAGAGGCCTGCTTGTACCTGGTGTTACTTGGATAAAGCCTTGCTGCTTTTATGCATGTTGACAAAGGAATCTTAAGCAATTTCAAAAACCTGCAGAACCTGCAAGATCTCTGCAGAACAAAGGTGACAGAAGGCTTGTGCAGAAAGCAACATTTTCCTTACACTGCTGCCTTTCTCTCCACAGCCAGTGGTTTAGTGTACTGAGTCAAGTCCATGCGTCCACAGAGCAAGAGATCCGAGAGATGCATGATGAGCAGGCAAATCCACAGAATGCTGTGGTAAGTCTAAATCTGAAGAACTTTTCAAAGCAAATATTTTTGGAAAATAAGGAGCACTATCATGGACACAGCTTCTGAGAGTCACAACCTCAGTATCCTTAAATGCCGTGGCAGCTGTAACACTAGCTAGAGGCTCAATGTCCTTGACCCTGTAGCTATACAAGAGAAGAGTCTGACTTCAGACTGCTCTCCCATCATTCACCTTGATGAAAAATGAGCGTTGGTTTTGGGGGTGGTTTTTTCTGTTCCCTATCACACCACAGTGTATGCTTGAGTTTCAAGTTTTGCAAAGATACAGTTAATGAGTAAATTAAAAACCCAAGAGTACAAAATTTGAGATTTTTCTGATCCTTCATTTATCATTCCGGACAACAGACACTGGGAATAAATGGGACAAATTTGGATCCTAATATCAAGCAAAGGGAAATAAAAACTTCTGCTTAATGGCTTCAGATTCTCGTTCTGAGACGATGCCGTTTATATTGGAATGGCACTTCTAGGTAAAAAATTCGAGCAGGTTTGGAAGCATAGAAAAATAAGAGCAGTTTTTGAGCTGCCTCCAGCTTAACAAGAGGTAATTTTTTACTGGATCAATTTATCTGAATCTCGTAGTTTTCCCTTCAGCACTTTTAATGGTTAAGAGAAACTGATGCCCAAATCTACAGTTCATTTTACGTGATCAAAGCTGCTGCTCCTTTCGTCTGTCTCTGAGAAGAGTACTGTGAGTAATGTAATAGTAAATTTCTTCCTCCTCTTCTGGTTGGATATTTGTTTATAGGGTACACTGGATGTAGGACTAATTGATTCTGTCTGTGCTGCTGACAATCCAGATAGGTAAGTCAGAACCATGCCTGGTGACTTGCTTTTTTCTCCTTTCTCTAGCCAAAATCAGATGCTTTATACTTTAGTCTCTATATTCTACTGACCAACCATATATTACAGTGATTCATTATTGTCTCCTTCATAGTACTGAACACCGCATGTTAAAACACGGAATAGAAATGGTGGTGTTTTTTGTGGGGGCTTCACTAAGTACCCTGACACTGCTTCATGTATGAACTGTTCAGCTACTAAAGTGATCCAAATGTACAAGATTAAATATTTCTTTCATTTATACAAGTGGTGCTCTGAAATACAGCTTATTTTTGAGTCCTTTAGCAATATAGTAGGCAAAAAAATGAATTTTAACATTTTTCTGTTCAGCTTCTCATGCAAGAATGTTGTATCCTACAGGGATGAGAATTATTTCCCAGAATAAAAATGTCTTGTAACAAAGAAGACAATGCAGCATAGAAAATGAGCATCAGGATATTCTTAGTTCTTGAACTAGTAACAGTGTTTTGGGTAATCTGGGTTCAGGCTATGACCGGAGTCATATAAGATATAAGGTTACTTGCTGTGAGGTGTTACCTGTACTGTCGGAGTTCATTCTAGTCTCCTCATTGCACATGTGTGGAACAGATGGGTTTAAGTTACTGGTTTGTCCTTGGTCTGCCAAGACCCTGATACCACAAGTAACAGTGACTATAAGCCCAGGTTTCCTAAACAATACAACACAACTGTCCAGAGCTTTCAGACTTTCAAGTTAGAAAGGCATTTCTCCTGTATGCATTTTTCACACAGATTTCTTTTCTTGTAATATCTTTTTTTTTAGTTCTCTGAGTCTAAAACAGGGATGAAAGGTTTTTCAATTAGGAAATGAATTTGACTAATACAAGCAATAGATTATTTTTATCTTGACACATATGAACCCACTATGACAAGCTCAAAAGAGAGAAGCTGAGCAGAGAGCCCTTTGAATCTGTGTTCAGAAAGAATCCCCAAAATGGAGCTTCTATCATTTTCCTAAACTGGGGAGGAGAAGAGGAGAGCCTGGAAGGTTTGCTACTGTTGATCATAACCTTCTGTTTTGATAGCTTGATCTACCTTAGTTTATACCTTAGCACTCTCCTTTTTGAGTTCTCTTACTATAGCTCATCTGCAGCTTCTGTCCTGTATATTACATTATCCAGCTTTCTAGAGTGTGCTTCATGTAGCTCAATCTAAAGCTGCCTCCTCTTCACACATTTTAAAACATGGTCAACAAAATTATTCTGTTTAGTTCATGTGCCCACTTGTTTCCTCGTCCACCACTCCTCCTGAATAATGTAGCACTTCAGCGCCACAGTGAGTGTGACCGAAATGTTGGATTCTGATCATTCCCTTACCTCTTCTGTGGCACTGGTTAGCACTAGCTGTAAATAACTCCTAGATCGTAGAATCATAGAATGGCCTGGGTTGAAAAAGACCTTAAAGATCATCTAGTTTCAACTCCCCTGCTGTGGGCAGGGTTGCCAACCACTAGAGCAGGCTGCCCAGGGCCCCATCCAGCTTGGCTTTGAACACCTCTAGGGATGGGGCATCCACAGTTTCTCTGGGCAATCTAACATAAATCTCCCCTCTTTTAGTTTAAAACCA